TCTCAGTCTCCCAGATAGTTTTATTTATTTATTTATTTATTTTTGAGTCAGTATATCACTTTGTTGCCCAGGTTAGAGTGCAATGGCACGCTCAGGGCCACGGCAGCCTCAACCTGCTGGGCTCAGGCAATTGTCCGGTGTCTGCCTTCCAAGTAGCTGGAACTACAGGCGCACGCCACCATGCCCAGCTAATTTTTTGATTTATTGTAGAGATGAGATCTTGTCAAGTTGTCCAGGCTGGTCTCAAACTCCTGGGATCAGACAACCCTCTTGCCTCTGCCTCCCAAAATGCTGGGATTATGAGCATGAGCTACTGTATCCACCCCGAATAATTTTAAAAAGAATTTTAAGAGCAGTTTCTGATGACAGAACCTGAGACACTGGCCATGTGTGTTGGGGTATTTGTGGATAGGGGAGGGAAGCTCTACCAAGCAGATTGCAAAGCAATAAATGGATGGATGGAGGGAATAATACCTACCTCGTGATATTATTGAGAGAAATAAATGAAGTGATTGTGTAAGAGGGCTTAATATAGTAAGAAAATAGCTACAGTTATTACTGTCTTCCCGGCCGTAAGAATGAACATGCTTTCACTACTAAGTGAACGGGAAGGAGGCTGGTAGGTGATGTGCTCACAGTTCCTCATCCATCCAGGCTTAACTAGGCTAGAAGAGGAAGCCCTTGTGCCCCTGTGTCTGACTGGTTGTCCTCCACACCAAGCACCTGGTTGTCTGGAACAAACTACATGAGGGCCTGAATATTTCATTCTTATCTGGAATCCTTGCTAGATGAAGAAATTGCATAACAGCTGTCAATCATCATTGGCTTGTTAGCCTTTGCCAGTTTGGCAAAAATTAAGGCAATTTTATGGACATCATGAGATCTGCTTTGCACACTGTGTGCTTATAGTAAATTGTGATTTTAAAAATCCACTCTCTATTTTTTAATGCAGTGCTACATCTGAAACAAATTGAAATTGTGCAAACCTAGAAATGATCCTAGTGGTTAGGTGATAGGTGAAATCTGATACCTTCCTATTGAGCTGTTGGAATACACACTTTGGTTCTACCACCTTATACTAGGTGAACTTTTTACAACACTTTTTCCTATTTTCTCTCTCTTTTTTTTTTTTTGAGTTGGAGTCTCACTCTCGCCCAGACTGGAGTGCAGTGGCCGCTCCCGGCCACCGCAGCCTCGACCTGCTGGGCTCCGGCGACCCTTCCGCCTCAGCCTTCCAAGTAGCCGGAATTACAAGCATGCGCTACCACGCCCGGCTGATTTTTGATGTATTGTAGAAATGAGGTCTCGCTGCTCAGGTGGGTCTCAAACCCGCAGGCTCAGGCAATCCACTCACCTCAGCCTCCCAAAGGCGCGGGATTATAGGCTGAGCCACTGAGCCCAGCTCTATTTTCTCTTTTGAGAAAAAGTCTCCAAACAGAAGAAGTAGGAAAGGCAGATAGGCTCAGCCATTATGGATGAAGAAACAGAGATGTTCCTTGCCTTAGATTCCTTGGAAATGGGGAAGAAGCAGCCCTTAAAAGGGGTTTGTGGCCGGGCTCGGCGGCTTACGCCTATAATCCCAGCACTTTGGGAGGCCAAGGTGAGAGTGTTGCCCGAGCTCAAGGGTTCAAGACCAGCCTGGGCAACTTGGTGAGATCTCATCCCTACAATCAATCAAGAAAAATTAGCCAGGCCTGGTGGCACTTGCCTGTAGTTCCAACTTCTTGAAAGGATGAGGTGGAAGGATCGCCTGAGCCCAGCAGGTCATGGTTGCGGTGGTTGTCAGCGCGCCACTGCCCTCCAGCCTGGGTGACAGAGTGAGATTCCAACTCAAAATTTAAAAAAGTGGGGGGAGGTTCATCCAACCTCACATGGCTGGAGAGCTGGGACCTGGAACTAGACTTCCTAGTCTTTCAGAAGTTCATTCTGCTGTAAAGAGGCAGCATGATGGAACAGACAAAGGCTTTGAAAGGAGAGGAAGACTTGACCTCAGGCTGCTCCATTACTAGCTGAGTGATTGGGGCCAAGTCCCCAAACTCCCTGGAACTCTGTCTTCTCATCAGTACCATGTGGGGATTACTGGGGCAGTCACGCTGATGTGAGAGTTGCCATGAAGCTTAATGTGAGTAGAAGCATCTGGCACATCTTCATCCCCCTTTACTGCATGAGAAGAGGTTCCAGGGTATCATGAATCTGCCTGATTACTGACATCGGTATTGTCAGTATGCCCAGCGCTCAGTGAGAGGTTGCTATGTGCCAGACACTGTGCTACAGAGCATAGTATACTTTGTCTCTTGGAATCCTCACTATCTTACAAGGTAATTATCAGCCCCATGGAATTCATGAGAAAAAGCAATATGGAGAGATGAGACGGCTTGAGCAGAGAATATGTTTAAGAAAAAGCTGAGCCCAGATTCAGGGCTTCCCTGCCTCCCTATCCATGGAATCGTAGAACTGAAAGGTACTTTAAGAGACCACAGGCTGTCAACTTCCATGCCTTATAATAAAGATCTTCATTGCAGAAATGTTTCACTAGTAAGTTAAAATACTGAGTGAAACATTTGGATTTTGGTTATAAATTAGAGTGGATTCAAGTTGATTCTTATAATAATTCTATTCTTTTGGCTCTCATTCATTTTGTACTTTGAAATGCTTTCTTGATGGAAGAGAAAGGGATAGAGTATGCTGAGTGGGTTGGAGTTAATTAACAAGTTGCCCTAAATACATTCCGTGTGTCTTATTGACCTGGTAGAAGTAGGGTTATGACCATTAACTGCCTAGACATGGGGCCATACCTGCTGAAAGCAGCAGAGAGAGAATGAGAAGTTCACTCAGAGAAGCCCTGCTGGAGTTGAGACCTGGAGGCTTTAGCCCTTGACTTTGTTCTTTAAGCGAACTGAAAGCATTATAAATTCCATCAACTCATTACTCTGACAAGGCTTAATTGAGCATCTCTTTCTGCAAGAGCAGGTGAGAGAGTGAGTCCTAGAGTTCAACTGATACAGGAGATTGACAGCTAGCATTCTTTCAGTGGGCCAATGTCACACACTTTTGTGGAACATTAGCACCATGAATGGTGAAAGGTGCTGCTTAGAAATAAAAATGGACAATTTCCAACGAGCATTTCTCAACAATGAGAGGGCTTTCTGAACATGATTATTTTCCACTTGGGAGGGGAAGCAGGATCTCAATGAAGGCATAGGGGGGTGTTCAGTACACCTGAAGATAGGATGGTAAAATTGTACTCACAATTTGATATTGATAGATCCCTTATGTGCATGCATTTCAAGGATAATTTACACATTCCAGTTCTTTGAGAGCTGATGAAAATAGTTTCCACAGCACATTCAAGAGTGACAGTTAAGTGCTTAACAATGAGGCAAAATTCTAAAGAGATAATAGGATTTTCAAATATATGTTCATCAGCTTGCTGGAAAGCTAAGCCTGTACAAAATACAGAGCTTGTTCATACAGGCGAAGCAGAATGAAAAGTTGAACAACTACCCAGATAATTTGATGCTGGGAGAGTTTGCCTGGATCATTCAGACCAGCACTTCCCTTCTTGCTGCCCTCCCCATGTCCCTCAGTCCTACCCTCCAACTCCCAGGTACCCCAGCATATTTTTGTATCTGCATTATCTATATACTACTATATCAACCTTTCATTTCACTTTGACTGTGGAGACATAAACATTGGCTACATACATACAGATAAAATACACATAAATGTCCCAAGAGTTTTGGATGGGGGAAGTACACTGATCCAAAGTCTGTCTTCCTCCATCATGTAGTTCTAGCCAGAAGCAATGTAAATAGTGTGTCACTGATTATCAAGCGAATTAACTTGGATATATTAAATCTCCAATCCTGGCCTTGCTTTCCAGGGCTTAAATTATTTGAATGATTGTCAGACCTGACTACAGACATTTTCAGGTATGCAGGCATAGTCCATGTATTTTTAGACCACACAGATGATCCAAATAATTCCAAGTTCAAATGTTTCCTTCTTTACAAATGTTCATCCTTGGATTCTTAGAATATCTGCCTCTTGACTTGGTTTCTCGATCAACTGAGAGCATCTATAAGCAAGAACATCTATTCAGAACTGATCTTGAAAGTAAATACAGGGAGTCAGAATGAAGTGATGGGGATGGGGTGAATTACAAAGAAATAAAATAACTTCTGCTTTCAAGGAGATTACACTCTCATTTTATAGCCAGTTGTTGCCTTATTGCTAAACAGTAGGATGAAAACAATATTCTAATGGGATGGGATGGGATGGTTAATAAACTTGTTGGTATTTACCTATTTGTAAATAAGTCTAATTTTTCAGTTTTCCAATGACATTCAGTAGATCTAGTCATATTGGCCATATAACACAAGTAAAGTGGTATTTGGAAAACTAATTCATTTATCTGATTTCCTCTAGAAAAGCTAATCCCAAGCTGTACATTTTTTTCATGGCTATATATGATGATTCAATGAACTGGATAACTGTTAAACCTCTCAGGTAGGTGTTAGATCTGAGGTAGAATAAGAAAGATTGCAGGGATTTTACTCTGGCCATATTCTTGGCAGATCTGTTGCCCTTGGCTTTGGAGTCATGGAAAGAAAGAGAGGGAGAAAGTGTTGAGAGAAAAGAATAGTGGATTAGGAAAACACTCCTTAGGAGTTTGAATCCACTGGGATGTAGAATTAGATCTGGATTGAGAGGGTCTTTTCTCCCCACTTACTGAAGCTGTGGTAAGAGCTAATAGATGCCACATCTACAGTTATCCCTTGGTTGGCCCCATTAAATGAGCTAAGCAACAACTCAAGCATGCAAAAAGAATTTTATTTGAATTTGAAATGCATCATGTGATTTTTTTTCTACAACAGATCTAGGGTCCTAATTATATTTTCAGGCTACTACTAAGTAAGCTTGTATACCTATTGTATCAGAGGTAAATGCCTGAGGTATGAATTGAGAGACTGGGCAAGGACATCCTCCAGTTAAACTTTGGGAACCAGAGCTAAGTTTTGTTGATGACCTATCCTTCCCAAAGACATTCTGTAGAACTGGTCTTTAGGGCTGCAGTTTCTTCACTGACCATTTCTCTTGCAAATTGTTGGCTTCTGTCTTTTCTCTTGCAGCCTGGTTCTCTGGTTTGAACAAGAACAGATAATCCATAGCTCCTATCTTGCTGATAAACCATAGAAGGAATGCCTGTACAACACCACAAGCCACCGAATAATCACTGTAAAGATGACGCCACCTGACAAGGATGGATGATTTTTATGTAAACTACTGATTAGATGTGCTCCCAAGTAGGTATCGACCAGCTTTCTTTAGTGTTCCAGGCATTTATCTAAGTTTCTTGGGGCAAAAGTCATTCGCAGAAAGTTGCTAGACTCATCTGGATGAAAAGCCAAGTCGTTTTTTTTCTTAATGTTGTCAATACCCTCTCCACTTGATGTCTGCGGGTGGAATCGTCTCAGAACTGTAACCAAGCTGGCTTTCAGCATCACCATGGCAATGTACTTTCCTGCACAGGCACGGGGCCCAAAACCAAATGGCTGAAAATACCTGTAAGGAACCTGTGAAAATGATCAGACAATTAGCCACAGTATTAAAAAGACTAGAGCCACAAGTCTTTTTTGATTGATTCTGAAAATAGTGGTCAGTCAGAGCACTCCATTTTGGGATCTTAGCCACACTGCCCTCTCACTGAAATAAGCCCCTTCTCAATCCTGTTTGATTCACCTCTTGTGACGCAACACAGACAGACCCTATCCCAGAGAGTCCCCAGTTTTGCTTTTCATGTCAATGTGCTGGGGTAAAGCAATGCAAATCATCATATTGCAGCTAGTGTTAGTGTACTCAGCTAGCTCTGTGGAATAGCCACAGATTTACTGCTGTCTTGGAAGTCACCAAGATAAAGATCATTTTTGTGTGACACCATATAACCTGATGAAAATGGACAAATGCAAGCAAAGATGCAGATTCTTGGCCTATTTCTCTAACTATTTAGATCTTTTAACACCTCACTATTTTTAGTTATGCAGAAATAATTGAGGACCTCCTCTATGTGTCTTGTCCACATCGGGACTTACATAGAGCCTGGCACATAATAGATGTTCAGTAAATTTTTGTTGACCAACTGACTAATTTTCATGACATTCTCTGGATTGCCCATGTAGAAACAGGATGAATCAGAGTATTGGAATAATTTTTTTTTTGACAGAGAAAGAAAAGTTTACTTAAAAGTAAATTAGAGAGAGAAAGAGAAGGGAGAGAGAAGATTCACCTCCCCAGGGTGCGGGAGGGGGCCAAAGCCAGGAAGCATGGCGACAGCCATAGCTCAAAGAGCACATGGCCACACCAGAGTCTAGCAAGGCAATGGTCACTGGCTACTTGTGGTTGAGTCCTTTTAACCATTCCTCTTGATGGAGGAAGATCATTAAGGTGATTGGGTGGTGGAATAATTAAAATCATATTCCTATGTCATATGAAAATAGAAAAGAGCGCACTTGGGGGCACTACCTGAATAATTCAGGGGAAAACATCATTGTCTAAAATTTGACATAATGGAAGCAGAATCTCCAGTACACACCAATTCTAGAAAGAGAAAAGGCTGACTCCCTTCTAATTATGGAGTCCTACTTAGAATTGTGCCTACTGCTCATGGGGTCATTTGATGGCTGTTTGCAAGTCACCACTTTGCAAAAATCAAATCTTTTGGTATTGTTTTATTTCCATATGAAGCAGAAGTGAACTTTCCTTTGCTTAGATGGTGCTGTGGCTGAATCTGATGACATGGCAATAAAGTGGCAAGTTTACATGGAAAAACAGGTTGGTTGAGTTAAACAACATTTGCCTCATTTTAGCCAAATTAAGGGCCTGTATTTTTCACATTTTGACTTATTGTGTGACCATCATGCAGATATTTTCCAGAGCTGGAACCCTAGCATCCTTGGCTTGAGGATGAATACGGTAGCCCTGTTCCAAGCTAGGACATACAAGTGTTCCTGCTGAGGCTTCCCCTGGAGGGGAACTAATAAAAAAATGAAATGTGAATGGTGCGAACACAAGGAACCAGGGTGGATTCAACAGTTGACATTTTCAAGAGTGACACACTCAGTTTTAAGGAAAGGCTCTTACATTTTTTGCAAAGTTTTCAAGAGTGAATTCGTTGGGCTTGGGGAAAAACTCGAGTCTATGCATTCTTCCAAGATTCAGGATAATGTTAGTCCCCTTTTTCACTGGATAGCCATCAATGACGTCATCTTCTAAGGCTTTGCGCATAACCAAGTCCACAACAGGCTGATATCGAATGCTCTCATTAATGAAGTTTTCTACCACTTTTAATTTTTGTACATCTTCAATCTTTATGTCTCTTTCACCTGTGGGAACAGATAAAAAGGACAAAGAAGATAATGATTGTTCCAGTATGTGATGGACACTAAAGCTTCAACTTTCCCACAGAACAAGTTTGTTCTTTGTTGAAAAATACTATGTCTATACTTCTAATATACATCTGCAACCAGGGCCAAATATGTTAGGTTTGGTTCACAGAGTGGACAAAAATTCGAATATGAAGTCAATTATCTTATAACCTGGGGGATTTTGTAGAAAACCCTGGATTTCCAGAAAAATCAGAAGACTTGGTAACGCTGGACCCAAATTCCCACATGGCAACATTTGGCTGAAGTTGAGTGGCCAATCCCCTTCAGAAGTTGAGTGGCCAATCCCCTTCAGAAGTTGAGTGGCCAATCCCCTCCCTCTACAGCTCCATATAGGTCACACCCAGTCTGCTTCAAACATGTATCTGCCTGACCTCTGCGGTCTTCAAGTTTTTGTCCTTCCTCTATAAATTGTAGAGGACATTAATTCCCTTTCTTCACTTGTGAGCAAACTGGCACCGTAATCATTCCACAGATGGATGCATAGGTTGCTGTATAGTCAACGTGAGACTATTTAATGCATTTCAATGAAACCTTCTCTCTGGTTACCTGTGTAGTCATCTGCCTATACATGTCACTGATAGTCCCTCTGCATCTCATCAAGAATAACCCGTTGCTATCGAGTAATGAGCACGCCCCTCTACCTACCATAAAAGAATAGGTGCCTCAGATCAGTCTGGGTGAGCTAGGGATGACACCCCCACTGTCTCAGATTGGCCTGACACTAGTCAAAAGGGATTGGATTACTCCCAGACAGAGCGATGCTTCAGAGCATCTTCAAATGGGCTGATACTTTTGCAGAATCAAAATCAGCCCAAGGTCTTGAGGCAGCCCTGTCTCCTGTACAATCAAGCCATTGTGGAAAGGTCTAATTTGGTCAGAATGCCCGCTCTCACAGCCCTTTCTTTTATGTGTTGCTCTTCACATACTCAAGGGCCTAATGGGATGTGTGCATCCAGGGTGGGAAGACAGAAAGGGAGATGATGGGGAAGGTGACCAAGGGCACGCACTAGGAAGTAATTACCACATCTGTGTGTGGCTCACAGGAGGGAGCACAGCCGTATGTGCAAATTCTCTGCTGCTTTTCCATCATTGCAGAGGTCTGATGAAGTGTCAGGGGAACATCAAGAGGCACAAGCAATTTTCTTCTCAAGGAAATGGTACTAAATTTGTATTAAAGGCTTATGATCTCAAAAGTCAGTTTCCCCTTGTTTGCGGAACTCTTTCCTTTTATGGCACCCTCTGAGCTTGTTGACTTAGTTCTCTTATCCCACCAGCCCATGAGCCCCATGAGTGCAGGGATGGTGCTGGCTTGTTTGTGGCTATATCCCTGCCTTGGGCACAGAACCTGATAACCTGATAGGAGGCGCTTGAGAGAACATTCTGGAATTTGGAGCCCAAATGTTATTCTGGCTCCTTGCTCTCTACCTTGCCAGACAATTTCCCACTGATGTGATGCACCTGCAGATCCCTTATCTGATGTATTTAACCATTCTGTAAAATTTCCCCTTATTTTTAAGCAGCACGCAAATGGTTTAAAAAAGATGGTGTCCTTCCACAACCAAAGAATTTTTTCACAGGAATGCATAAAGAGAGTAGAGTCTGTATCATGTGATGTCTCTTCACATCTGTAAGAAATGTGTTCCTAAATCAATTACTCACATGAAGGAAGTTTCAAATAAGGATTTCAGCATTCCCCCATAAAGCAATTCTCAATTCTTACAAAGGTGGTGACGTAAGGAGGAGTGGGGTGGGATGATGCTGAGGCGGAGGCAGAGCAGTGAAGACACAGTGTTGAGGAGGAGCTGAGTGTGACCTGGGGTCCTTCTTGCAGAGGAGGAGGAGAAGGCAGGGAGAAGAAAGGGCCGGTCTCACTGAATTGGAGTGGAGGTAAAAAATACATCACTCTCCTGCCTTTGCTGGCACTCCTTCTGCTGCTGACTAGAACTTCATTTGTGAATTGGCTGCTTGAATCCCAGAAACATTGCTCTAAATGATAGACAAGTCATTTCCCTGGGTGGAGCCACAAAAACCTTTTGTAACTGATAAGGTAGGCAGAACATTAGACATGGTCCCATGTTTTTGTGAGACAGACAAATCCATTCATAGGTATGTGGTTGTATGCACATAGAGAAAGATCTTGAAGGACACACAGCAAACTTGTTAGCAGTGGTTACTACTGGGCGGTAGGGTTGAGTCCAGGGAGGAAAGTGAAGGGACGGAGGGGATGTCACTTTCTGCTTTATATATCTCTCTGATATTTGAATTGTCTTCAATGAGCATGTACAGTATTTGTTATTATAAAACGCTGAAAGAAGTATCTTTTCAACCCATCTGGCATAATCAAAGTGTGACAGAGTGGCTTGTTTATTGTTTTCAGTGGATTTTTAAAAGATTTTGTGTTTGGGCAAACCCTTTGGGTCCCCTCCCACTGCAGGAGCTTTTCTTCCTCTCAATAAATCCTACTTTCAAAGAAAAATAAATAAATAAAATATTTTGTGTTTGACATCAGAATCTTAGGACACAAGGAGCTGACATTCAAAAGGAATTGTTTTTTAAGCTCTATTATTTACTTGATAAATTCTCACCAATAACAGTCTGGATTTCCTTCATTAATGCCTCTTCAACCTGAGGATGCTGTGCAATGAGAAGCAGCATGAAGAACACAGAGATAGACATGGTGTCAGGCGCTGCAATCAGCATTTCCAGTATGCACTGGTTCACATTCTCTTTTGTCAGGTCACCTCGCTTCTGAACAATTGAAAGAAGAGGAAAAAGTGGAAAACTGAATCAAAGTTTCAAAAAATGAGGGGAGGTGACACTCAAGGGTGAACAACCTTAACAAAACGAACTTAAATAAATTACGGTCTCTGTGATTGACTATGAACACTTTATGTGGCAGTCTTCAACTGAAAGATGAGCAATTAAGTCAATTATGTAAATATTTAGTGTCTTTGGTTCCTCCTCTCCTGTTTTCATATTTTGTGTTGTGACACAGAATAGTTTCAATCCGAAAGGTCAGTCTCACTAGAATGTCTAATGGGCTGGGTATTATAGAGCTGCTAGAGAAAATATGTCAGAGCAGAAATATGCAACAATCGCAAAAGAGAATCTTTACACACCACACAAATGGTCATAACATGTGCTGTATGAGAATATGGTTAGTCCATATTATGGTCAGTACCTCAGCCAAAATCAATTCAGTAGCAAAGTCCATACACTCATCCAGCTTCTCCGCTGTAGAAATCCTGCGTCTTTTTTCGTCTATCAGAATGCCTAGAGCATCTTTCAACTCCTTGCTAGAAAAAAAAATCATCAAAATATAGTCTATTCGTATTCAGTTTAGACATCTAGCAAAACAAATTCACTTGCCATTTGTTTAAATAAAACGATCTGCTTTAATTTCATTGAAACTTCTGGTGCTCATGAATAAGTGAATTTCTATGTTATTTCTTCACAAATATCCTTAAATTACATATGCCTTATACTTTGTGTTAGGGTACCAGAGTTAGCTAAGATTTCTAGATGCTGGTAGCAAAATCAAACGACTTCTAGTTGAGGGTTAAGAACCGATACCAAAAGACTAAATCTAACCATGTTTTCCAATTTCTGACTGGGCAGGCGCAGTGTTTAAGTTAAAAACAAAAACCCTGCAATTGCTGTTAGTGGGGGGCACGCACCCTTCAGTTTGCCACAGGAACTTTCATTTCCCGTTGTTTTATATCCTCACAGTCCACTATTATTTGCCTAGCCCAGAAGACTGTTGAGTCTGATATTCATACCTGTAATCCCAGCACTTTGGGAGACTAAGGTGGGAGGATCGCTTGAGGCTAGCGTTCAAGACCAGCCTGGGCAACATGGTAAGACCCCATCTCTACTTAAAAAAGAAAAAAAAAAAAAAACCAAACCCAAAAAACCAGTAAACCCAAGTGACCAAGTATTAGTCTTGATATTTATTCACATGCCTTGTAGTTTCTGCCACATTGTAAACATTAGTATTTGCTGAATAAATACGTGTATGTATTTTGACAGTGTGTTTGAGGGAAGAGTACCTTGGACAAAGGGTCATGTTTTCTCTTTCTGTGTTGCCTGCTTTAGATCTCTATGCCATTCATCTCTTTTAAGAAGAGATCAGACTAGATTACCAATAAGGTCACTTTGAATCTAAATTCTGTTATTCTTGCCTCTGCCCTTAAGTGTATGTGTTCATTTTAAGTATATTGATCTAGGGAAAAATATTCTGATTACATGAAATGTACAATAAATCTTTTTTAAATTTCTAATTTACTTGGTCACCTGTACACTTAAATGTCCTGCTGATTTGTGCATTCACCAAATATTTGTTGAGCATCTCCTACAGATATTCATTCAGTTGGTGGGGTGTGATACCTCCTTCCTAGGAGGCTAAGAATGCTCATAGCATTCCTACCTGAGCAATTGCCCCCAAATGCTTTGGGAGGCATTGGAATAGCCCTACATTCTCAATTCTTAGAGAGTTCCTTGATGGAACTGGAGCCATTACTGAGCATTTACTTCCTCCCTGGGCTAGAATCCAAGGTTTTGCATGAGCCGACTATGAACGCCCACTGGGATCCCTTCTATTCAAGTGAAAAGTTGATCTTATAAAAATGTATGCATCTGAATGTATATGCCCTTCAAAACTGGGAGAATTGAGTTCAATGACAGTTTTCAGGAAATAGGAAGTCTCTGACTTGCAAACACATATTACAAGAAGGCATCTGTGAGTCTGTTGTTTGGAACTCTGAATACTTTTTGCACCAGGACAATGGTGGATAGGTTATCAGTCTAGCCTACAGACATCTATATAAGGTATTATTTGACTGGAAAAGTCTTCAACTTTCACAGTAAAAAGTAGAAATCAATACTGCTGTAATATTTGAAATTAAAAGAGTCAAACATATAAAATTGAATAGAGGTAGAGGTAGATTCTCAGTATCCTTCCCATAATTTTAAAAAATGTATTATCATTGTTGTAATGGCATGTTGGAGGAGGTTAAAAGAGTTTTCTAGATCTTTATTACTCTTGGACTTAGGGAATATAAACTAATGCACTAGCCATATGTTACATATAGAGTGAATTCTGTTGGGCCAATTTCTATAGAGACTTAAGAGAAACCATTATAAAATATAATGCAATAAATTTCTATGGACCTGCTGACCAAGACCAAGGTTCAACTAATGACCAAGAACTATATGATTATGTTATTTAGACCTCTACCACCACCACCAAATCTGATCACCATGAAGACACAAGTCCTTCATTTAATTGATTCAAGTCACGATAAGCTCTGGTGGAAAGGAAATGAAATATACAAAGAACCAAGTGTCTACAACATTCACCTCATACTCATCAACCATGGGAGAATATATAAAGCAACATCAAGTTGTCTTCCTCTTTAGAAACTAATATGATTGAACTTTAAATCCTCAAATAGAATAAAGATGGGTCTTCAGACAAGTTTGGGAACTTTTTTTTTTTAGAGTTGGAGTCTCACTCTGTTGCCCAGACTGGAGTGCAGTGGCCGCTCCTGGCCACCGCAGCCTCGACCTGCTGGGCTCCGGCGATCCTTCCCCCTCAGCCTTCCAAGTAGCCGGAATTACAGGCATGTGCTACCACGCCCGGCTGATTTTTTGATTTATTGTAGAGATGAGGTCTTGCTGCCCAGGCAGGTCTCGAACCCGCAGGCTCAGGCAATCCACTCACCTCAGCCTCCCAAAGGCGTGGGATTACAGGCTGAGCCACCGAGCCCGGCTAGTTTGGGAACTTTTTGAGTTGGAGTTTCACTCTGTCGCCCAGACTGGAGTGCAGTGGCCGCTCCTGGCCACCGCAGCCTCGACCTGCTGGGCTCCGGCGATCCTTCCACCTCAGCCTTCCAAGTAGCTGGAATTACAGGCGCGCGCTACCACGCCCGGCTAATTTTTTTTTATTTATTGTAGAGATGAGGTATCGCCTGCCCAGGCGGGTCTCGAACCCGCGGGCTCAGGCAATCCACTCACCTCAGCCTCCAAAAGGCACGGGATTACAGACTGAGCCACCGAGCCCGGCAGTTTGGGAACTTTTAAAGAAGGAGAACTTAAGATGGTCAGGGACATCTGAGTAAGATATAAACATATGGAAGGGACAACTAACACATTTAGTCCCCATTAGGTGCCATGCTCTATGCTTGCTTACATGACCTCATGAGCCTAAACCTCTATTCCAGAAAGTATGTTATGTTTTATTTTAATTAACTTCTCAAGACCATTTAGTTACTAAATGGTAGAGACGGGATACGCAGCAGGACTGTCTGCCTCTGGATCCCATGGGCTTTCCGCTGGAAGTGAGAGGTAGCAGTGTTTAGTGATGAGTTACTAACGAACACTTTAAAAACCCATGGATTCATCTGTAGGCCATTGTGCATTTGTCCAATTTTTCTACTGGACTAGTTGAAAACCAAGACAAAGCCATTTAATGACAGTTTCAGGGCACTCAAAACACAAGATCTATAACTAAAACCAACAAGAACAACAATAAAAACCACACATTTTATTGCCATTTATTATACTCAATATGAAAAAATTCTTTTGAGACTACTGTCAATTCTTACAAGTTGAATTATGTTAAATTCATTCAGAAACAATACAACTATAAATTAATTCTGTATTTCCAGTTTCTCTGTTAAGCAAAGAGAGTTTTGGAAGATATTAATGATAGGATTCATTAACCTTTCTCTTCAACTCAAAATATACTACAGTGTCCTAGTTCTAGAGATGAATGTCTTAGACCACACACTCAGTCCTTGTGCTAATAAGCTCCCAGGCCAAAGCCTTCTTTACTCTTTGGTCTGGCCAAATGCCTTCAAATTGCTATGAGAACTATTTCATCAGCAACTTAATAAACAGCTCCCTTGTGGGATCTAGAGAGGAGAAAACTTACTGAGGAGGCCAACAAAAAGAGCAAAGACACGAGGAAAAAAACCCCAACCAATTGTACTCATAAATCTTCCAAAGTTATGTTACTTACACAGACTTTTCATACTTTTTGTAGAGCCAAGAAATCTTAAAGAAGATGTCTGGTTTGAAAAGGAGAGCTTGCCACGCATCAAAATAACCCTGGATTTTAACCACAATAGCTTTTTCTGGGGAAAAAAAAAAAGAACAGAGCTGTTGAACAAAATGTGAGCTTAAGAAAAATCCCCGGAGCAGAGAACATTCCCAGTAGATTCTCCTACCAGCCTGGGGTTCTAAGCTGGCCAAGGTTTTACTTTCAGTAGAATGTTTTAGGCACGTGAATGCCACCAGACAAATTGAGTACTAATTTATTCTGCTTGACATCGAAACTGTTGAGTTAACCAGGGAGTTGCCAGCTTTCAAGTTTGTGTTGAGACACTGCTTAGAATCTCACATACCCCCCTTAGGCAGAGCCTCCAACTCCCCTGTTTTTTTGGACAAGGTAATTATGTTATGGCCTTGACTCGGCACCTGGGGGAGCAAAAAGTACAGCCTGCGCAGTAACTGACAGCCACACATGAACTGCATTTGGTGTTGGTAAGCAGGGCATTCATGGACAATCTACTTAGATTGTACACCTAATTAGTGGCTCCTAACCATGTGCTCACTTCATAGTGCTTTCTTCATTTTTTCCCGTAGTACTCATCACATAGCTTTCATATTTATTTCTATTCAGTCCAGAACGTAGAATTCATCTTAGTTTCTTCAGTGCCCTGTCCTGAGCCTCATGCACAGTTGGCTTTTAATGAATGCCCTTTAGTTAAACAGAATACTGGCTGAGCATGGTACCCTAGCACTTTGGGAGACCAAGGTAGGAGGATCGCTTGAGGCCAGGAGTTTGAGACTAGCCTGGGCAACATAGCGAAACCCCCGACTCTACAAAAAATTTAAAAAGTAGCCAGGTGTGGTAGTGCATGCCTGTAGTCACAACTTCTTGGGAGGCTAAGGCAGGAGGATAACTTGAGCCCAGGTGTTCGAGGCTGCTGTGAGCTATAATTGCACCGCTGTGCTCCAGCCTGGGTGACAGAGCTCCTGTCTCTAATAAAAACAAAGCAAAGCAAAACAAAAACCAGAATACTAGAGAGGAAAAAAAAACATTTTTTCAAATTATGCCAGGTCAATATGCAAAAAGGAAGAGAACTGACATTTATTTTCAACTGTTAAATACCAGTCATCATGTTAGGTGCTTTGTGAAAGAGATTTGTAATTTAATCCTCTTGCAAAAGAGTGGTGGTGTCATCATTTTGCAGTTGAAGAGACCGCAATTCACAGAAATCAAGAAACTTGCCCAACAACATCCAGTCAGTGTGGCAGGCAGGGCCTTAGACCCTGTCTGACCTCAGGGTGATGTCGTTTTCTCTTTGTTACACTGGGTACCTTAGGAACTTTGGGAGTTTAACCAGGACCCTGTGAAAAAAGAAATCAGCATAACTCTGTGTGGGTTATGCGGGTTCTCCAGCATCAAAGTCTGGATCCTTAAAGCAATAGAGAGATTTACAATTCAAGGCTGGGGGGGGGGGACCAAGAAGCCCAGACTTGTGAAATATGTGACTGTCAACTTTAGAAATGATGTCTGTAGAACAGGCACACGGGGGGAGTGGAGTCCCTGTCTGCAAGAAGATCGGGCAAGAGAGTGACTAGAAATTCAAGTGCATGGGGCCTCCCATCCAAATGGCAATCCGATGAAGTTTCCACAGCTCTTGTAAGGAGTAGTTAGAGGAGGGAAGATGAGGCAATGAGAGCTGGACAGGAGAAAGTGAGGGCTTACAGCTTGTCTATTTGTCCAAATGCTCACCTGGTTCTGGCGAGTGTTAAAAGGGTGCATGGTTCCCCTGCCTGGAGTATTCTTCCCTCAGAACTGTGCATGGCTTGTGGCCTGACTTCCTTCAAGCTAAGTTCAAATGTCTTCTCCATAGAGGCCTTTTCTGATCACCCTCTCCATGGCATCCATGCCTACTCCTAAGTGACTCCCTTCTTCACTTTCTGTCCTCTTACCCTGCTTTGTTTTTTTCTTCAAGGCAGTTATTATTGTCTAATATATTTTTAAATATTGACTTATTCTCATATCCACATCCCCCACTGGAATGTGAGTTCTCTGAAAGCAAGAACTTTCTCTGTCCTGTTCACTGCTCTATCCTCAGAACCTAAAACAAATAGTGATTAGCATAAAATAGGCAATCAATAAATATTTGATGAATGCATGTATGACTCAACATGCATTCAGGAAAAATAACATTAAACTGGGCATACTTAATGTCAATAGTAGAAAAAAATTAATGTAAATGATTAATGCTTTCTAAATTGATACATAATATACACACAAATTTAGGGGATACATGTGATATTTTGATACATTCATATAATGAATGATAATTAAGTCAGGGTAATTGGGATATTCCTCACCTTAAACATTTATCTTCTCTTTATGCTGGGAACATTCAAATTATTCTCTACTAGCTATTTTGAAATATACAATAGATTATTGTTTTCTATAGTCACTTTACTGATTTAAGACCTGAAGGTTAGGTCTTATTTGTTCTATCTGCCTGTATTTTTGTTCACTTCTCTTCATCCTCCCTCCTTCTCCTACCCTTCCTGGTCTCTGGTAACCACCAAACTACTCCTATGAGTAATGTTTGGGTTTTTTGGTGGTGGTAGAGTTATGTGCACATTTTAATATTCATTTCTGCATCATAGGGAGGAGAGTAGATTTTGAGTGAGAGATCTTGTTAGGATCGTTAGAAATATTAAGTGGCAAACATATACATAAAGCAATTTCTTAATACTGCTTGACACATAGGAGATACTGCACTAAAGCGAGCTATCACCATTATTTCCATCGACAACAGTGGCATTATTGTGATTTTTATTATATAAACCGTCAAAGTTTTTATCTTTAGTAGCTCTGAAGGAGGGGTGTATATGTGTGTATATATCATACCCTAAAGAATGGTTGGAAATGGCAAATATATCAGCTTGATTGGTGGTAGGATAGGTTATGACCAAATGAACTGATCACATTTTCTAAGCTTCAACTGTGGGTAGAATCCAATTTCCTAGAGAAAAAAGGAGAGATCCAAAAGAAATAGAAGGTGGCCCCTGCATTATGGAAATTTATAAGTGAATAAAGCAGAAATACTAGAGAAAAAAACTTAGGGACGTTTAGAAATGTTTAAACATGAGCAATATACAAAATGGCATGTGTTGACTTTAGTCTGCTATCTCGCCCAGCCCCTTGTTCAATAAAGGGCAGAATGTCTAATCATGAGAATGAAAATCTCAGTACCGTCCAAGGGGATCCTCAAGAAGAGCATGTTAGAGGTGTCCAGCATGATGCATCGCATGAGGGTCAACACGTCCACGAAGCCTGATGGATCAGTCACCTCCTCCAACCTGTCCAGATGTTTTTTTAAGGATTCCACACAGATTGCCATCATCTGAACAAGGCCAGGGCCTGACAAAGCTGCAGGGTACACATTAGAGAATCAGCCATCACGGAATCCAGGGCACAGACACACACAATCAGGCTATTTTGGTTTTAATGTCGGAGCTTAATTGTCCACGATTTTTAATTTAATAATATGGGGGAAATTTTCATATTTTTAATGCTTTTGTGTGTTCTCCTAATTTTCTATAAGTATGTACTACCTTTATGTTTAAGAATGAATGAATGAGTAGATGAAAGAATAAATGTTATTTTAGATAAACTAAAAAATTAAACTTTTGTCATGCTCTGGCAAGTCATTTGTGAGATTGCAATTGAAGCTTTTAGTACTTGTGTTCATAAATCACAAATCTGGAATTTTTCATGTTTATTGTATATATTTCCCTCTAAAGATGGCTTGGATTTGGCCAGGGTCATATTTATTTTATATTTTAACAAATGGCAGGATATTACTAAGAGACTATTCAAATTGGATCCTAACTATTTGACCTAAGGTGTTTTCTGTTTAATTGTAGATTATATGTGTAAAGTGCAAGTTTTAGAAATCACCAAAATGTCCTCATACACCTGAGTTAAATGATAAGTAAAATAAAACATTCCTATGGAATCTTAGAGTATTATTTCATTTGTTATTCACAATAGCTCTAGAGTGAAAGTTTTATAATATTTATCACCCTCTGTGGATAAGAGAACTGAAGTTCATTAAGGCGAAGCAACTTGCCCAACTTGTAGCTAGTTGCAGTGCTGGGAGTTGAACCGATCACCTATAACACTAAGTTTGATATTTTTTCCATTATTTCATTCTGCAGTTTTGTAAAGCATAGGGAGATTGAGCTGCCCAATATGAGTGGTAGACAAAATAATAGCTCCCTAAAGATATCTGGGTCCTAATCCCCAGAGCCTATTAATATATTACCTTACATGAGAAAAGAGTCTTCACAGAGATAATTAAGGTGGAGGACTTTGTGATGAGATTGTTGTGGGTTGTCTGGGTGGGATCAACACAATCATGAGTCTTAAAAGCAAGGAAGCTTTCTCAGCTGAAGTCAAAGTCAAAAAGAGATGTGAGATAGAAGAAGGGTCAGAGAGACGTGCTGTAAAAAGGACTTAACCCACTGTGGCTGGCTTTGAAGCTGGAGGAAATGGCCACAAGCCAAGGAATGTAGGTGGACCATAGAAGATAGAAAAAGCAAGGAAAGAGATTTTCCCAAGAGCCTCCAGAAAGGAACATAGCCTTGCTGATGCCTTGATTTTAGTTCATGTCCGAACTATAAGACGATAAGCGTGTTATGTTAAGCCACTTAGTTTATGGTAACTTGTTACGGCAGCAATAGGGTCAATAGAATTGGGGTCTACATGAAGAGTTGTGCTGAGTCTTGGTGAAGGGCAGCTCTGCAGAGTGGGTTCAACATTCAGTGGGCACAGGCACCAGTATAGCTCGCCCTGTCTTAGCTGCCACGTGGAAAGTGGCTAGGTTCTCTGCACAGGCTGGTTGGAGGGAAGAACATGGATGGAGAGGGCCAGACCTAAAACCATCTAGCCCCAGATTCCATCACTGACAAGGCTTCCAGGACATGATTATCTTTCTTGAGGCTTGATGCAAACTAATGTCAAGAGTTTGCCATGTATACCCCCAGCAGCTTCATTTCCAGCATGATATGGTAATGGGGGAAATCCTTGGCTGGAGTTGGGTCTTGGCTCAGCCATTGCTTACTATGTTGTCTGGGTGAAAACTACAACCTCTCTGAGATTTTATTTTCTCAATTATACAACTCAGAGTATATATGAGACTGTTCTGCTCAGCTCTAAAATTCTCCAATTTCATTTACACACCGCTTTCTGCTAAAACATCCAGGCTGTCAAAGATTTAGCAAACATACTGTTTGACCATGTTGAAGTCACAAATATGACTGACACACTACATTCTTAATTGAAATGACACTAACTGTACAGCCCTCATCTCTTTTTTACATCCATGAAATTGCTTTGCACATCAACAGGGAGAAAACAATTTGTTGTGATGGAAAAAATGGAGGTTCTGGGCTTGTATCCTAGGCCACTGTTTCCTAATGTTGAGACCTTGGGCAAGTTACTTAACCTCTTTATGCCTTAGTTTTCTCATCTGTAACAGTGTTAGCCACATGGGGTTACTGTGGGGTAAAAATATCAAGTGCTCAGAACAGTGTCTGCTATAGAGTAAAAGTATAATGATGTTAGCCCTTTCTCCTATTATCATCATTTCAAAAGTGTGATGCAGTAAAATATAAAATACAATTTCAAAAAAAGACACACTTGTAACCAGAAAAAATAAGGTAGCCGGGAACCTGCTTACCTTTCATAAAGAAAGGTCGAGTTACTTTCCAGAGGTCTGTATTGTTGTTAAATATGATGCCGTTCTCATGCATACCAATGCACTGCAACCCAAGTTTGCTGCCGAATCGGGAGACATAGTGACTGTGCTTCATTATGTGGAACATACTTGAGGACCTGAAAAGAAAGCAAACTTTGGTGTTAATTCTTAAAAGTCAGAAGAACTCATAATGATGCATTTTGACTATGAGGTGGCTCTCTTGACAAATGCATGTTGATCCAAATGCAGTGCATGATTTCTAGTATTCAGGTTTAAGAAGTGCTTCTGTCAGCATGAGAGTATCCTGTTTCAGTGAATCATTTCTGCCTACTAACTCTCTGATGAACATCATAAAAGATAAATACACACACACACACACACACATACACATACACATCATTCCTTTTAATCTTTTTTCTCTAATTTCAAGTCACCACAATACTACCCACTAGTGGAGTCACAGCCATAGACTGTTAAGAAGCTGCATAACACCAGAGTCAGGAAAGCCTTCAGCCTCCCAGGAACTGTCCAGCTCCACTCCAGACAGTGCCATCCTCTGCAAAAGTAAGACACAGAACTGGAATTTTTGGAATTACTGAAGTTTTGCTTTATTAGTTTGGAATCGGCCATTTTTCTTAGTATCACCCAACTCCAGTCTGTAATCAGGCCTGGCCCCTGATCTGTATCAGTCTGGGGCAGTATCAGTCTGGGCTTAAAGATCTCCGTGGGCACTTCTTCTGGTCCTGGGCCTGGCTGGGCTGGCATGGAAGGTTTCCTGTGGTGGTAAGAGACTCTATCTTACGGCTCTGTGTTCCATCATGACTCATCAAGGTGCTCTCTCATGATGTAAAATGAGTCATTAGTGCCATTTGCATGATGTTCAAAAGCGCAAATTCAGGATAGCATATACCAAGTCATTGTTATTTTCTTAATTTCAGATAATGTTTTTTTCATTAATTTTGATGGACTTGATATTTACAATTATACAGATTTGTATATATTTACTAAAACTTTGGTCCTTCCTCCCTACTTCTCCTGGAAATTTTGTTTCTTCACTGTAAATTCTCCTGTGGAGGTTTTCAGAACACACAACCCTCAAAGACTGGAGTGGCTACGATTGTATAAGCAGCTGGTTCTCAAACCAGGCTGGAGAGACTGTCCTGCCTTTTGTTCCTCCCTCTCAAAGTTGACACTTGGCACCTAAAAGATGCCTTTGCCTTAGTGAGGCTGTTCAGTTAACACCGGCTAAAGCACACTCCCAGAGAAGACTCTGGGCCAGACGAATACTGCTCTGGCTGAGTGGATTAGGCTATGGGCAATACTAATCAGACTCTCATTTGTGATGTGTTCCACAGTCTGACTTAAACTTTAAAAGCAAGCCCCTGAAATAATGATTGTGCCAAAAAATAGGAACAGAATTATTATTATATGTTATTTATTTACTTGATATTTATTTTAGGACAAACCCCATTTTCAAATTAAAACACTATCTGTTAAGTCAAATATTCTCTTGATTTGTCAAGAGATAATATTCGTCACATAATCTTAAGTTTGGACAAGCTTTTCTCTTCCTAGCACAAAAACAAAAACAAAAATCCGGATACTTCAACTGGAATTCCAGGGAATTAATCTGACTGACAGTTCAAATCTTGTCCTATATAGAAAAATCACGCTATAGGAAGGACTGAAATTCTTACTTATTAAAATATTTGAAAACTCTAGCTTTTCTTGCCTTCTCCTACCTAATTCTATAATTAAGACAGAAAGTAAGTACTTTATATATTCTTTGTTCGCAAACTTGTATCTAAAAATTGTAAGTATTTAGAGAATAAACAGAACACTATTTTCTGTTCTGACCCCTAGGGCTTTAGTAGACCGAGTTGATCATATTGGCTTGTCCATTTCGATTAAGGAATGCTTATTAATTTGAATACGAGAGTAAGAAATGCCAAACATACACCCAACTAAATGTTTGCTAGTCAATAAGAAATAACTTTTAAAATTCATGTGTCCCTTAGGGGGCGCCAACATCTCAGCTATTTTGAGTCTGAGGCTCAGACATGACAAGGGACACAACCAATCAGACAGAAGTGATACAGCAACGGAAGTACGATGGGCCACCGAAGAGCAACTTAAAACAAGATCACGCATCAAAATTAGGCTGGATTTATCTAACCAGAATAAATCAGGAAAGTAAATAAGAGAAGGTTGTTGAACAATTAGGCACCTCTGTCCGGAGCCCCTCCACACAGTCAGGCCAGCCTGCAGCATTGTTGGAAGGAAATGTTACGCGGACTGTTGGGGAGATTGAGGATTTCCTGCCACTGAGGAGAGACCAACAGAGTCCCCAAGCTCAGAAGGGACAGTAGGCAGTATAAGGTGTCTGGACACTAGGGCCATTACTCCTTTTTAAACATGACTGAAGTCAAAAGACATCTCCAAAGATGGCAAAGCTACATTGTCTATTCAAAATGAAAAGCAGCCAGGAAGTAAGCTCTTAGGTGGTAAGGAGGAAGCCACCTCACTTGTAACTTAAACTTCTCACCCACCTGTGGCCAGGTTCAACAGTGATAAGCGCTGGAAATATGGGGGAGGCCATTCATGGAATAATTGGTGCCAAACACTTAAAAACACTTGCCTTGTGAGGACCTATTCTGTGCTCGAGACTCATGTTCCATCAATCCTATCACCTTTCACGGTCCTTTGCCCCTCTAATGATTTTACTTATCCAGCTTAAGTTATAGGTAACTGCAAGAGATAGTCTTTATTACAGAGAGACCTGACTGTAACCACCCAAACCAAGTGATCAAATTTAGCATTACTGCCAGTGGGACAATCTGTTATTCGTCTCCTGATGTGAGGAGACATGAAGTGCCTAGTACTACTGATAAAGTGTTACTGCAAAAATGTATAACCCCAATTTAACAGAGCCTTTGGACCGAATTTTCAGTTTATCAGAAATATAGGAAATAGAGGAATATATTAGATGACTCCATGATGAAACAAATAAAGAAATCCAGTGTGGGATATCTTATATGATTATCTAGCCTGGTCTCTTCAAAAAGTCAGTGTCATAGGAGGAAAAGCAGCGGGACTGCTCTTTCAATTTTCCTGTTTATTTGAAAATATTCTTAATAGAATGTTGGAGCCGGGCTTGGTGGCTCAGCCCGTAATCCCAGAGCTTTGGGAGGCTCAGGTGAGTGGATTGTCTGAGCCCGCGGGTTCGATACCCGCCTGGGCAACTTGGCGGGACCTCATCTCTACAATAAATCAAAAATTAGCCGGGCGTGGTAGCGCGCGCCTGTAGTTCCAGCTACTCGGAAGGCTGAGGCAGAAGGATCGCAGAAGCCCAGCAGGTCGTGGCTGCGGTGGCCGGGAGCAGCCACTGCACTGCAGTCTGGGTGACAGAGTGAGACTCCAACTCAAAAAAAAAGAATGTTGGAAAACATTTTTATTGCCAATAATTAAAATTAAAATATCCTTCCTTGCATCCTCAACTCCATTGACCCTCTCCTTGCTTTGTCGTGGTAGTCTGATAAAGCCTCAACTCCAGCTAAGTCAAACTCTTAGCTGATTGCGTGCTTGCACTTGGCAGCTGGATTGGGCTAGGAAAAAAAACAGGTATACATGTGCACATGTGTGTATGCATGCATGTGCTTACGGTGCATGCGCATACACACACACACACACACACACACACACACACACACACACACACACACACACACACTTACTGACAGGTCTCAGTTAAATTCAAGTGGGCCCTAAGTGCAGCTGGCAATTCTACTATATTTCTCTAGTCCATTCACTCTCTCGCTCTTCTAGATGACAGTTATATCCTCCCCACTCAGTATCAGTTGAAGACTTTATTTCCTATTTTCCTGAGAAAATAGAAGCAACTATAATACAAGAGAATCTCCACAAGCCACAGCTACTAAAATCTGTGCCCATCTATTCAACCTTCCTTCGTGTTACCATGGATGAGCTTTCATGTCTGTTCAAGGCCAATCCGTCTACTTGTCCCTGGGGACGCCTTCATGTCTCACCTGCAACATCCCTTCCTTCTCCTCCATCAGCAATTTTTCTCTGTACTTGATTGTCCCCCCACAACTCACATGCTGTACTTTCTCCTATCTTAAAAGTCAAACTCCTTTGCCAGCACGTCTCTTTCAACCACTTTCCCATTTTCTACCTCCTTTATGGCAAACTCCCTGGATGAGTCCTCTACACTTGCTGCTTCTGAGTCTTCCTCCCATTCTCTTCTCTGATCAGACTTTTGCCCCCACCACTCCATTGAAACAGCTTTTTGTTAAAGTCAGCCGTGACCTTCCTGCTTCTAAATGTAGTACCCAAATCTCCATGCATTCACGTGGCCCATCAGCAGTATTTGACATGGTTCACAATGTCCTCCCTGATATGCATTCTTCACCTAGCTTTCAGACTCCCACACTCCTGGTTTTCCCTTTTCTGTCTGGTTGCTCCTTCTCTGTTTCCATTGCTAGTTTCTGACCCTTTTACACTGAAGGGTGTCAAGGCTCAGTCCTCCTTACTCATCGTCCCACTCGGATGTCTATTAGGCCTGTCAAATCTAGCATGTCTGAAATAGAATCCTGGCCCCTCTCTTTCCTATGCCTGCTCCACCTATCTTAGGACACACTGTGTCCTTTTCTTCCAGGTGTTCAGGGCAAAACTGGGCAGCACCTTGACTATTTTTTTTCTCTGACACTCAACATCCAATCTGTCAGGAAGTTTGTCGGTTTTGCCTTTAAAATATGCCCAGAATTTGCCTTTAAAATATCACCTTATCTCTTATCACCACTACTGCCACCCCTGGACCAGCCACCATAATCTCTGGCTTAACTGTTCCCTCTACCTCCGTCCCTTTTCCCCTTACGGCTGTTCTCAATAGACAGCCAGAGTGATTCCACCGAAACACGAATGAGACAGATGTGCCACTCTCTGCTCAAACTCTTCAATGACTTCCTAACGAATGCAGGGTAAAAGCCAGAGTTGTTACAGTGGCCTGTGTTTGGTACCCTATTACCGCTCTAATCTCATCTCCACCATTCTTCCGCTCAATCACCCTGGTAACCTTAAACATTTCAGAAAGTCGCCCATCTCAGGACCTTTGCCCTTGCTGTTCCTTCTGTCTACGGTGCTTTCCCTCTAGAACTCTGCAGGACTCATGTCCTTACTTCCTTTAGATCTTTATTTAAATGCTATCTTCTCAATGAGGCCTGCCTGAACCAACTATTTACAATTGCATCCCTAACCCTACAACTGGCCCTCCCCATTCCCCTTCTCTATTTTTTTCCCTATATGTAACACACATCTACCTGATAATATTGTGACCAACTATCCCAGTTTGCCCAGGACTGTCTCAGTTTCAACACTGAAAGTCCCAGGCAAACTGAGGCAGTTCGTCAACCCACTGATACACTATTTATTTTACTTGTTTGTTGTTATTGATACGGTTAACAATATATTGCTCCACGAGGGTAGGGAATTTAGGCTGATTTGGTCATTGCTGTATTTCCAGAGCTCAGAACAATACCTAGCATACATAGTAAGTTCTCAATAAATATTTGTTTAATGAATGAATGGAGAGCCAATAATGACTATTATAAATTAGAATCATCCAGTGCTTATCATAAATTCTCAATAAATGTATGTTCAAAGGATAAATCCCCTGTACAAATATAACTCTAATTAGTATGTTAATCGCTAATAGGCATGCAAATATAACCCTGATTAGTATGCTAATTGCTAATTCTCCTTTAAGGATGCTACTTAAATTCTTTTTATTTTTTTGTTTTCATGGCAAAAACAAATCTATATACATACAGTGGACATATAGTGCCCTATGCAGCATTTGCAGCCACTCCTTAACTTGGATCATGCCTGCCTGGGTAGCTTCCAGGGAAACTGTGCACACGTTGTCTACAGTGGGCCAGATGGACTTCACTCAGAGCCCCCAAGTGGCTCAGACAGCGACTCACCTGCACTCAGGCCTGGCTTCCTCCCCTGAAGTTCTCCAGCCCCCACCACTTTGGGACAAGGCTTGTTGGAAAAGTTCGACCATAATTTCTGCACAGTTATAATGACTACAGACTTCAAACTTTTCAAAAGAAAAATAAATCTGGCAAACTATTCAAATAAAAATAAAAAGCTTTCCGAGGTCCAATGGGGTCTTTTCAAGAGGTACGGGTAGTGCTGGAAGGGACCTGAAGAGCTGAAGAGCAGGCAAGGAAAGGAGATGGGGACAAACATGTCCTATTCCCGCGGGGAGCTCAGCCTTTAACAACAAAACTGAGCTGCCCTGAGGCAATTAAGGAGAACACAAAGACTCCACAAGTGAAAAGCCTGAGAGGACAGGACAAGGAGAGAACTGGGAGAGCTGGGGGAGGGGTGGGTGGGTTGTGTCTGCGTCTCAGTGTGCACCAGAGGCACAGCGTGAACCAGAGGCCGACTGTACCTGATTTGGTCAGGGGCCTTCAAGTCACTTTCCTAATTAAGACAAGCAGAGTGGTCAGATGCCCCCCGACTGTGACAAGGATACTACCTCAGGAATTGTCTTTGGCATTCAGGGAATTTATCTGATGACCTGAGAATCTAGTATCTGAAAGTGAATTTTGTCCTGGTATTCTGGTCCTTTCTCAAATCTATCATTCTCTACCTCAATTCTAGTCTGATACCACTGCCATCTTAGCTAGACTCAAAGGTCATACAGTAAGACACAACCGCTCCAGCCCTGCTTAGCTATCTCCCCAGCCAGATAGAAGCCCTCTTGCCCCTGAAGCCTCTTCCTCCTCCCCTTTCTCTAGGTGGGAGGCTCTCAACTCTGCAGCACCCTGGAATCACCTGGGGAGGGTTAAACACTACTGATACCTGCCTCATACACCTGAGATTTGACCTAAATGCCGGGGTGCAGCCTGGGCAATGGGACTTTTAGAAGCTCCCTGGGCGACGCTAATGCACTACCAGGGTGAGAACCACTGCTCTAGGTGGTGAACTACAGGTAGATATTCTTTTGAATAAATATGGTGAGGGTCACTTCACCTGTCTACTGGGGCAAACAGGTGACAGGGAAGGCAGACACCCTGTTCAGGAGGACTGGAAGGCACTTGCTGTGATGGGGAGATGGAAGAGCAGGGGTGAATATCCCAACCTCCAAACCCAAACACCATCGGTTCCAGGACATTTGTGAGACCATAGCCGGTTGTCAAAGTGACTCGGATATATTGATTTTTTTAATGAGAGCATATCTAGAACACAACCCACTCGCCCCTCCTCCAGCTCTCCCAGCTCTCTCCTTGTCAGGTCTTCTCAGGTTTTTCACTTGTTGGAGGCTTTGTGTTCTTAATTTCCTCAGAGCAGCTCAATTTTGTTGTTAAAGGCTGAGCTCCCCTTTTTCAAGAACATGTCAGGTTGGGGGTGGTGGCTGTAATCCTAGCACTTTGGGAGGCTGAGGCAGGAGGATTGCTTGAGGCCAGGAGTTCTAGACCAGCTGGTGCAACATAAAGAGACCTCACCTCTACAAAAATAAAAATAAACCAATTAGCCAAGTGTGATGGTGCATACCTGCACTCCCAGCTACTTGGGAGGCTGAGGTGGGAAGGATCCCTTGAGCCCAGGAATTTGAAATCGCAGTAAGCTATGATCATGCCACTGCACTTGGCTGGCCAGAGATCAATGGACCAGGAGAAGTAAAATGAAAGAGTAATGTTGATCTAGTCATTAGAGCAATAGTTCTCAAACTCGAATGTGCAGCAGAAGCGCCTTGGAGAGGCTTGCTAAAACAGACTGTGGGGTCCTACCCCCAGACCTTCCTATTTAGTAGGTCAGGGTAGGGTCCAAGAATGTGTATTTCCAACGCGTTCCCAGGTTTGTGGATGCTGCTGGTCGAGGGACCACACTTTGTGAACCACTGTGTTGGAGCAGTTCATAATGAACCTGATAAAATGACATTTCCACATGAAGCTATTGTATAAACGTGGTCTGACTTAGCTACTCTTAAAAGTGCTACAACAAGAAAGTGAATGAAATAGAAAAAGCCCAGGCAAACATTGAGATACTGGATAGATCCAAAATAATATTACTACATAGTTTGAAATATTTGGAATATAACATATATTTCTCCCCTGCTCCCTTCTTTCAGTATTGGCTTCAGAGAATTGAACTTTGGGGATACTATGATATTTTATAAAATGATATATATAATCTTGGCCTGAAAAAATGTAAGTAGTTCCCAGAAAGGCTTCACTTAGTTTGAGCAATAGTCTGTGTATCTGAACAAATAATTCTAACAAATCCAGAAAACACCCTGGTCAAATTTTAGTTTACGGGTAAATTTGTCAGGTATTATAAATATAAGAACTTATGAATGAGACAGTGCTGGCAGATAGCTTTGCGAAAAGTCTGTTAAAGATAGCTGAAAGACTAGTGATATATGCCCTTTGAATTTTTTCATTTTCTAAGACCAATAAACAAGAAAACTTGTATTTCACGGAAAAGTTCTTTACCACCAATGCATATTTGGTTAACTCTAGAGTGAATTCAATCTGCTAGTTATCTGGAAAATATAACACAGAAAGAAAGGACATCATTTTTAATGGGCAATAATGTTCCTGACTTATTTAACCTCATTCAGCTAGAACACTGGCACCAAGTATAAGTTTGAATGGGAGAACAGCATATGAATGGCTACTTTTTCTGCTTTCTGCTCTTTTATTTCTTCTTTTTTCCCCCCTTTAATCAGACTCAGTCAAGATCAGTTTACTATCTGCTCATTTAGAAGTTCTCAGTAGCCTGGTGTGAAAACGTATTAGCAAACTGCTAATCAGATACTTTTGTCTTAGATTTTGTTTGTTTTAGAGATGAAGTCTCATTCTGTCATCCAGGTTAGAATACAGTGGTGTCCTGGATTTTATTTTTGTTTTTTATGGCCTTTTTTTTGAGTCTGGGTCTCACTCTGTCACCCAGGCAGGAGGGCAGTGATACAATCATGGTTCACTGCAGCTTTGACCTTCTGGACTAGGCGATCCTTCCACCTCAGCCTCCCTATAGCTAGTCCTATAACTAGGACTATAGGCATGCACCACTAGGCCTGGCTAATTTGTTTTTGTTTTTGTTTTTGTGAAGATGAGGTCTTCACTATGTTGCCTAGGCTGGTCTTGAACTCCTGGGCTCAAGCAATCCTTTCCCTTTGGCCTCCCAAAATGCTAGGATTACAGATGTCAGTCACTACACTTGGCTGGTTTTGTTCTTTTTAATGTTTACTTAAAGATAAGTAAACCAGCAGGGCTCAGTGGCTCAGCCTGTAATTCTAGCACTTTGGGAGGCCGAAGGGAGTGGATTGCCTGAGCCCACAGGTTTGAGACCAGACCGGGCAACTTGGCGAGACCTCATCTCTACAATAGATAAAAAATTACCGTGCGCCTGTCATTCCAGCTACTTGGAAGACTGAGGCAGAAGGATCACAGGAGCCCAGCAGGTCAAAGCTGGGGTGGCCGTGAGTGAACCACTGCACTCCAGCCTGGGCTACGGAGTGAGACTCCAACTCAAAAAAAAAAAAAGATAAGTAAATCTTCCTTACAGATAAGACTAAAAATCTTTGGAAAGCAGAAAGGATAATGCCTCTCCCTAAAGTATGCTTTGTCAAAATCAAATTATCTGGATTCTAAGTATCCATGTTCACTGCTCACAGAGATTTTGAATACTTTCCCAATTCTCCAGAGTTCTTTATCTGTATATCTCTGGCTTTAATCCAAGCAAAATCCAATTATTCTATCCACAATGTCAAATTTTTACCTGGGAATTGAGGTAGCCTTAGAAACAAACGCATCAAGATATTAAAAATACATTTCCTAAATAGAAAAAAACAAAAGCCTTGATTTGAAAAGTATGTCTTTGATTATTAACAGACTCACTTGCTAATGATGAGGGTTTCTTCCCCACATACCCAGACTCTCATGAATTCTCCATACATCTTGTTGTAGTAGTTGCAGGCAGCACCAATCCCCATCCACAGGAATCTGCAGTGGGAAATGAGGGGCCCAATTCCCATGCAATAGCCAGGACCTAGGAAAGTCATCAGATCACAGTCAGCATCTGAGCCACACCCAGAATAGCAACTGCTTTGTGGTACTACTGTTTTTCTTCTTTTATATCTAGTTCTTTACATCTTTGGATGTATATCTCTGAATCACCAATGAAGTGATTTAAAACAAACAATCTTAACATGAAGCTCATCACCCCTCCACGAATAAAAAGTAGTTCAATATCCACACCATACTAGTTTTACTTTGCGTCAATCATTTAAGTCCAAATGAACTGGGGTATGTGTGCTATTTCTGCCTATGTTAACCAGTGTCAACAAGTTTCAAATGCAAAACTTCTAAAAAGCAGGGGAGTAATTGTCACAAGATCTAGGAAAGTGTTTGCCTCCAGGGCGAGGGAGAGAGTCATTGAAAAGGCAAAGGAGGGCCCTCTGGAATGTGGCTAGCATCCTATTCCTTGTACTGCACTGTGATGGCAAATTTATCATCACATTGTGCATTTTTCTGTGAGATGTTTTCTTGGTAGGGAAAAGAGAAAAGTGGTACCCAGGGCAGAGTGCAGCATCTGGAGGGAAAAGACCCCCGTTTAAGGCTGGGCACGGCTGTGTGTCCTTGAGCAAGGGGGTGCTGCCAGGTGCCAGGTTACTGTGAGTTCTGGACACACATCAGTGGACTGGTGGCAACTTTGTAGAACTGAAACTTACAGTCCCCAGTAGAAATGACTCTTCCCTCCCCCAGACTTTCCTACCCGCTCCCTGGCACCAAGTCATTTGCCCACGTGTGCCCCTGCCTGTCTTTGCCATTTCCTTGGAGTCCTCTCAGGGAAGAAACCATATCTCTTTCTTCCCCCCACCGCCCCTAAGCACCTGATATAACAGGGCTTCTCAGTAAAGATGGACTGAAGAAGCTTAGATATGAGCCCCAGTTTCCATACTTACTAGCTGTGCAGCATCTACTCTGAGTCTGATTTTTCATCCACAAAATAAGCATAAACACACCTACCTCACCAGAGAAAATGGGCATTAAACTACTTTGTAAACTGTAACTTACATAAGGCCTTTTAATCATTATACCTGTTTAACTCCCTTTGGCTTTCCCTGTCCCTGAGTTTCCCCCAAACCAAGAAACTAGAGAGCCACTGATTCAAGGGAGCTGGTAGGAATTCAGGAGTATTGATTGACAAGAACCACCCTAACAAGGCCAATGTTCTCGTCTTCCTACGCCCAGCCAGAAACTGTGGGATCCCACAGCCTGCCACTAGAGGACCCTAACCAGAATAAAACTAGAAACTACCTGGCAGTAAAATGATCATCCACCTGCCTGTGAGGACTTCTGGGTTGTCCCTTGCACGCCTGCTTTCCTTCCGGCTAGGGAGCTGACAAACCATTTTTCTTCCCTGGGCTTGTAGAATGAGGAGTCTGAACTCTGTGGGACCACCTCTCTGGGCCTCAGTTTCTCCTTCTATCAAATGAAGGGGTTAGGTTCCTATCTATGACTCTCAACATTGGCTGCTCATGAAAAAATCTCTGGGGAGATTTTTGAAAATATCAACTGGGGGCTCTACTTCAGACAAAGTTAAGAGTCATTGTGTTACATGATATACCTGTCAGTGTGTTAGCATAATGTTCCTGGCCCAGTTTAATGTTCAGTGGATAGAGGGAGGTGCTGCCTAGGCTTCTGATCCAGAGCTTCAAGGGTGCCGGTTTTCATGACTGCCCCTCATATGCTGACCTCCTCACTCAAGGGTCCGTGGGAACTCCACCAGTGCTTGCAGCACAAGCATCTGGAGGGCCTTTTTCTTTTTTTGAATGCAATATTCTAAGCCTGAGGAGTCTGATTCAAAATGTCTGGGGCAAGACCCAGGAATCTGAAATGTTAATAAGATCTTACCTCCTGGGTGATTCTTACATGTACTAAAAGTTTGAGAACCTGAGGTTTAGTGGATGGTTATCACTGAACTCTCTCTCCTTGCAAGGTTTTCTGATAATACAAATGAATTGGACTTTATCATCTGGGCCTATGAAGGGAAGAAGAGGAAAGACATTCTATTCCTCCTCACCTTCCCAACATACACTCACCTCATCCCTACCATTCATTGACCCTGACCTAGGAGCCCACCAGGGGGAGGAGAAATTCAGCCATGAAGGGGCAACACTGGGAAAGAGAGTTCATGTTAAAGACCAATGAAGAGTCACCTCCCAGCTCTGAGCCTTCCTTCTCCAGAGAGGACGCCATCAGGGAGCAGAGAACAAAATTAATGAAATGTTCGGTTAAATGAGGCACTAAAATAATCGAAAATATCGGGCTGACTCAGACAGAGAGATGGGCAATTATCTGGAAGATGGTAAAGAGAACCCAGAAATGGAGCACTTTATACCAGCCCCATGCTCCTACTCTTGGTCACACTGAGATGAGGCCCACTATCCTTGCAGGTGTACATGAAATACATCTTGAAATAAAACCTCATTGGATATCTTATAGAATCGGAAACAGATGTCTGCAATGAAAACTAAAGAAATAGTCTAAAATGTCTCATAATTCTGGATTAATCTGATATCTGATAACTGCAGCAGTAGTGGTGAAATATCTGATAACTGCAGCAGTAGTGGTGGGGTTTCCTATTGGAATTATCTGGATAATTAAATTGTTCTCTACTTTTGGTGGGAAACAGACCTTGTTGAAGATCCCATCAGGGTGTGGCGTTCCAAGAGCACCACGCCCCATTCTTCTCCCACCGCCCAGGTCCCATTCAACCCTTCCAGTGGTACAACTATCATCACATCACCAAGAATAAGAGAAAATGGAGAGTGGAATAAAGAGAAGGGACAAATACAAGACAGGGAGAGGGCGTGGACAAGGCAAAGTGGAAGGGAGAAGAAAAGATGTAGACAAGACATTCCAGAGACATTTTCACTTGCAGAGCAAAATCGGAATGGATTTGAATCATTTTAAAAAAATTAATAACAACAACAACAACCCTGGAATTTTGCCTCGCTTCACCCCATCTCAAGCATGTTTTAAAGGGTACTTGTGCCAAGTCTACTTTGCCAAAACAGAGTGCAGACTGGAAAGGGTTATCTAAGATAATTTTTAAATGCGCTCATTTAAAATGTGCAGATAATTAGTCTAAAAAATTTCATCCGAATCCTCATTTGCTAACGTGGCTGTGGTTCAGAGATCTTTCCAGGTTTGCTCTTTGTCCTTCTGTAAAATTTTTCTTTGCTGTCATGGATCAAAAGCCCAAGAAAATAATCTCCTTAGATATAGAAATAAATGACTGACTTACCTGGTATTGAGGATGTGTCCTCATAGTTCCAAACCAAGAGAAGAAGGCTAGTGAGCAGCAGGATTGGCAGGGTGGCAGCAGGCATGACTTCAGGCACCATGCTGGTGATGTTATAATGCATCGGGTTCAGTATTTCCAAAATCATTTTGCGTTCCTTGATCTCGATGGAAGCAATTTAGAGTCCTGTGGAAATCAGAGAAGAAAAATTAGAGAATCCCCTGAAAGTTTCATCTATGACTCCTGTTCCTTCAAAAGGTACTGTGCCATACAGATTCAAGTGCTGTTTTATAATGTGATCAGACACTTAGGCAAAACAAATTTATGGCTACAAGTCAAAACAAGCAAGCCCAAGAGAGATCTTTTGGCTTGAATTGCAGCATTTCTGACCTTGGTTGAGTCTCAGGTTCGTTTAGACACTTGGTCTGATAGAACCTTATCATCCTGCCCTTGAGTGGATAGAGTGACGTGCATTCCCAATTGAGAGCCACATTTCTTACCAAAATATAATAAAGCTCATTCCGGAGGTAGAGTCATCTTGTGACTTCATCAGCAGGTTTTGTTTAGGCAACATTCGTCCCTTGAAGCCAAATCAACTTTAAAAAACAAGCAACTCTCTTTCTTGGCCAAAATTACTTCCCCCGGATAGTAAGTTTCGACAGCAAGAAAACGTCTCTTGGGTATCACTGAGTTGTTCTTATAGCCTCTTAGGTTGTCTATTGAGTTCAAAGTGACTTGCTCATGGCAGTCTTTCTCTGGTGACTTTAATGAGAATCTAAGATCTCTTTCAATATGGGCTGGATTAAGCAATGCCAATGGGGGTCAATGTCAGAGGTGTGGGAAAAAAAGAATGGCAAAGAAAGAACAGAGAGGAGAAAGAAAAGGAATAGGGAAGGAGAAAGAAAGAAAGGACAGGCAGAGTAGGATGCCACCAGCCACAGGCTCAGGTGCCACTCAGCAACCTCATCCCCATAAGGCCTAACATCTTGTGAAAGGCAGTCAATCTGCAGTGTGATGTGCTGGTTCTGCTCTGTTTTTCAACAACTAACGTAACAAAATGTTAAAAAACAACATGTCTTTTTAGCCAAGTTTTGCATACTTTTACTCTCAGAAGAGAGTTTCTGGAATGGTAATTTGTAGCTAAAGAGGTATAGGTTGAACAAACTTGCACAGTGAGGAAAAAGTCATAATTAACTACATTTTCTGGTGGCAAATGACTTGTCTCCAAGTTTGCCTTTCTTAGAAAATGCCCAGCGTTTTGGGAACTACAGAAATTTTACAATATAGTTGGATGTATTCCGTTGCTTTATCATTTTGTTTATATTATTCCACTATTTATATAATAATTAACGCTTAAGTGCAAGACACTGAAAATGCCTGTGCTTATGTTGAGCAATTTTGTTGTTGCTGTTTCTTTCTTTTTTTTTTTTGAGTTAGAGTCTCACTCTGTTGCCCAGACTGGAGCGGCCACTGCAGCCTCGACCTGCTGGGTTCTGGCGATCCTTCTGCCTCAGCCTTCCAAGTAGCCAGAACCTTTAGCCGGGTATGGTAGCGTGTGCTACCACACCCGGCTAATTTTTTGATTTATTGTAGAGATGAGGTCTCGCTGCCCAGGCGGGTCTCCAACCCGCGGGCTCAGGCAATCCACTCACCTCAGCCTCCCAAAGGCGTGGAATTATAGGCTGAGCCACCGAGCCCGGCTGCTGTTTCTTAATATACAGAGGTTGCGAAGAAAAGGCATTATGTTTGTTATCATCAGCTTCCTTGTGAATGAGTAAGTACTTTGAGCAGGTTGAGTTCTTGTTTTGTTTTGTTTTTAGGTTTTTAATTTCCAGAGTGGAATTTTATATCATTCTGAGTAAGTTCTATGTGACTTTCTGACAGGTCGGACCCTTGAAGTTTCTATTAGTAGGAATGAAACTAAGACCATTGTTCAAAGTGTAAATGAGGAAAGGGGTTGGAACATAGAAGATGAAGATGTACCAGAAGAAGTGGTGCCAGCAGAAAGTTCACATTAAAGGAACTCTCAGAAACATTTCGGAACATTGAAAGAGAAAAGTATAAGATGTTGAAAACGGATACAAATTTATAAAGGAGTATGACAATTCACCAAGGCATAAAAAAGATATTCCCTCAGTATCCTAAGTTATACAAAGAGAAGGCAAGAACTTTTCAAATACTCTTGATAAATTTTTAACAAACAAAAATATTTAAAATTTGCACTGTTTCTAATGTTTTAAATTGCTGTATGTAGTTGTTTTACTATGTTTTTTTGTTGCCCTATACGCTTGTAACCTATAGAAAGTTGGTAATGCTGTGACAAGAAATTGTAATTTTTCTCTTGATTTTTAAGATTGCTTTGCACAGTTTCAGCTTGCATGGCTACTTTTATAGTCCTTTACTACTATGCCAAGTGGGAACTGTCTTGTATGTCTGAATGTCTAATGGGGCTAAGAAGCCTGTTTTCTCATCTTCCTCAAAAGTATGGCATAAAGATCGCCCCTCCTGCCGAGCACCATTTAAAGACCTGACATCATAATTTTTTTCTCTTAGACAAGGTCTCACTATGTTGCGTAGGCTGATTTCAAACTCCTGAGCTCATGCAATTCTTTCACCTCAGCTTCCCAAATTGCAAGGATTACAAGCATGAACTACCACATCCGGCAAGGAATTCTTAACACAAAACATCTGCTCTGTGCCAGATATTGTTCCAAGCTCTTTATGAATAGTAAGCAATGCATCTTTTTTTTTTCTTAAGTTGGAGTCTCATTCTGTCGCCCATGCCAGAGTGCAGTGGCATGCTCATGGCCACCCCAGCGTCAACCTGCAGGGCTTCGGCGATCCTTCTGCCTCTGTCTTCCAAGTAACTGGAACTATAGGCGCATGCTACCACACCCAGCTTATTTTTGATTTATTGTAGTGACAAGGTCTTGCCAAGTTGCCTGAACTGGTCTTGAACCCGTGGGCTCAGCAATCCACTTGCCACGGCCTCCCAAGGTGCTGGGATTACAGGCTGAGCCACTGAGCCCAGCCTAAGCCATTCATCTTTACAACAAGCCTGTGAGCTAAGAATAATTAGTCCCATTTTTCAGATGGGGAATTGAGGCATGAGGAGGTTAAGTAGCTTGCCCACGGGCATCCACCTCGTATATGGCAGAACTAGGATTGGAGACTAGGTGGTCTGTCTCCAGAGCCCATGCTCTATTTTTTTTTTTTTTGAGTTGGAGTCTCACTCTGTCGCCCAGACTGGAGTGCAGTGGCACGCTCCCGGCCACCGCAGCCTCAACCTGCTGGGCTCCAGCGATCCTTCCGCCTCAGCCTTCCAAGTAGCTGGAACTACAGGCGCGCGCTACCACACCCGGCTAATTTTTTATTTATTGTAGAGATGCAGGTCTCGTCAAGTTGCCCAGGCGGGTCTCGAACCCATGGGCTCAGGCAATCCACTCACCTCAGCCTCCCAAAGGCACGGGATTACAGGCTGAGCCACCAAGCCTGGCTGCCCATGCTCTTAATCATGCCATTTTGCTATCTATTATGGGATTAATTTAGTCCCCAAATTCAGGGACTTTTCAATCATTTATGTTCATTCCTGAGCTATTAGAATGACTCTCTTTAAAGGATTAAGCTTTATGGACCTCTGAATGCCATAGTCACAGCTGGAAAAGTCTTTGCGATTGCACATGGCCTCACAGGCAGGTCGAACAGAAACCTTTGAATGGTGGTACAGGAATATAGGAAGGTCCCAGAGCTTCATAGAGGTTGCTTGTATGTTTCTCCCTATCCCTTGCCAATAATACTTTCCTCTCATTCCAAATATACATATCACACATGGCCCTTAGATACTATGCACTTTCAAGGGCCTTATCAAATGCCTGGGTCTCCACTGCCCTCTGAGGGTCATCTCCTCAGGTCCTGCCATTGCTATTCGCAGGGTGGTCTCTGCCCACTAAGGCATCCTACACTGGCCTGGCACCAAGCAGAGACTCTGGCTACCTGATGCACCAGGTCTGTGGAGCCACAGGTGTCCTGAATAACACATTCATTTAAGGCCCCCACCAACCTCAAGGTAAGGAAATGCCAATTCTGTACCCAAAGTCCTCAACTTGAGTTGGGGCAAAGGCCTTGGGGACACAGAAGAACCTAGGGGTACTAGTAACCTGGGCATCATGACCCATCCTGAGCCCCACAGTGCCAGAAGGGACTCCCAGACACTCTTGTACAGGCCTGGCCATCTGCAGGAAAGGGAGGCAGATCCTGGTTTTGCAGAAGTGCTGCCCGGCCTGGACAGACCCTACTAAATCCTACCTTTTAGCATGGGGGCAACCTGTCTAGCAGGAAGATTGACCCAGCCAACCTTGGTCTGACAACTGGGTGCCAAGCTTGCATTCTCTCTCATTTTCTCCAGCACACCCTGTCCCTCTTCAAGCCCTCACTCCTGGAGAAACACAACCCAGCCATCTTGGTTCTTCCTGCTGCATTCTCTGCTTTGGGTTCCCTTAGAGGGCTGAATCTTAGCGGGGGAGGTATAGGCCCTTACTGAATGGTTATCCAAGTGAATGAAAACTTCTAGTTCGGGACAGGAAGGCCTTCAAGAGTGTTCTGTCCTGGTGAGTGGGGATCCTGGCGAGTGGTACTGAGGGGTAAGGTAAGGATGGGGAAGGGAGTGGGTGAGCATGATGTGAATAAGTGGAAAGAAGGATCAGCAAGGAACAGAGAGAAGGCTGGTGATCCAGGCAGTGCCTGGCTAACTGAGACAGGTGAAGGTGGTAGGGGGAACCTGGGAACAGTCTTGCAGGCTGCAGAAAAAATGTTGAAATTTGTCCTAAGACAAATGAGAAACCACTGGGTGGGAGTGTCAACAAGATGATGTTTGCATTTTGAACATCTAAATCCCTCTGGTTGCAGCACGGAGAACACAATGGGGGCAGTGGGTGTTGGAGTGGGTAAGAAGATATCACTCCTGTGGGAGTGTGCCACAGGATTTCGGGGAGAAGAAGGAGGGTCTGTGGTCTCTAGAGGTGGATGAAGGCGGAAATGGAGACAAACAGGTCAAGAGACATTTGGAATTTGAACTGACAGGACTGGATGGTGATTGAAATTCAATGCTCGAGTTAGAAGGAGGTGCCCACATAGAGGTAAGACCTGAAGACAGAAAAAGTAGCACTGAGTTCTCTTTTTTTAAAAAA